GCCTAGTGAGTAATGAGCGATTGCTCTCCGTACCAGTTTGTTCGGCTGGAGGTTTCGTTGCTGCATAACCTTTTGCTGACCAATAATAAATAAATAAAGGGCTATTCCAGGGAGAGGGGGCGTGGGGGCGCACGTCCCCTTCCTTTCCTTCCAAAAAACAGGATATAGAGGTAGAGAAAGAGAGACTCAAAAAGAGAGAGACAAAAGGGAAAGACAAGATTAATACTCAGTTGAATTCTACCTTTTACTTGTACCATCTTAAAGTCCTGCTTGAATAACTATAATCAGTGTTGTCTGTAAGATGATTACAATGAATTTGATCATGTATGTGTCCTCATTTGGGGTAACATGATATGCTGTAGATTGCAGAAAAACGCTCCCAGACCCCTCTAGCACCGATTAATCTCAAAATGAACACCGACAGCTAGCAAGGAATTTAAGTTTGGAAAGTTTGAAAATTCTGTTGTTGCTTCTATATTATGCTGGTTCATAAATTCGGTTTGTTTGATATTTGTCCATTTTTTACAGGGAGCGAAGAAAAGAACAAAAATATGAAAATAAATCGCTTGTATCGTTTTATTCTGTGATGTTTTATTCATGACATAAACTGTTTTCTATTTCGTGCTGCAACAGCCTGCTAACAAAAAAAAAAAAAAAAAAAAAAAAAAAAAAAAAAAAAAAATCAAATTTCAATCGAGAATTTTAATGACTCAGAGGTCTGTTTTATATTAAATGTAGAAATATCACATGACTCTCTAGAAAGAGACAGTTTTTTTTTTTAATCAGGAGATGTTATATTTATTTTTCGCTCTCGCGCGGCTTACAATCAGCTTTCGAAAATTGTTTTATCTATCATAGGACGCCCCCCCCCCGAGAGGTGGAGTTGTATGTCTTTACATTCAATGATATATATCGCAATTGCTACTTTCTGTAATATAATGGATAAAATTCCCTCTATATTATAATACCCTAAGATTGCTTTTTATTTAATCTTAACAACAACACAGCAACAGAAGGTTGCTAATGAGTAAATAGCCCGGACGTAAAAGTCACACCATTTTATGTTCTTTCAAGGCAGCCACTTGAAAAATAGATAATAAAAAACGTTTTCTGATCTGACTGTCTTCTCGTCAGGGCCATAAGGGTATTAGCTATGGGTCAAATTATACGTGTGAGCTCCATAGTTAGGTGCACGCAGTTTGCTATCATCTTTCTAGCTTCCATTTTTTAAGACTGTTTCACTCCTCTTCCTTTCTATTTTTCATGAAAATGTTTTATTATTTTATAATTAAATCAGTAAATGAGATTGAGTGGAACTTACTTTGAATTTTGTAAAGAAACGTCACAGAAATGGCAGAATGAAAAATACAAAACAGATAATCCCACATCTGAACAAATACGTTTGCTTATAGTGAGGAAGGAATTATAATTTTGTATGCATGTTTGTTCCTCTGATTATACCCATCCCCCAATATAAAGCTCGCCGACCATCGTAATAACATCTGCCAATTATATGTTATCGCCGATCAATCACGTAACAAGTGCCAACCATTCACCAATATTTCCTCAAGCGGTCGCATATTAACTGTGACTGTGACTTAGGTTTATCGTCTGGCGTGCCGCTATTTAAAACCTACGTATTTGATATCTTTTATGCAGCATGTCTCGGAGGACCCTGCTGGAATGGCGCCATCTGCGACGAAACTTTGGATGGTTTTCATTGTACCTGCACCGAACGATTTTCAGGGTCACTGTGTAAAGGTTCTGTCAATCTTTTGTTTTAATTTGATTTACTTCATTGTACTTTCATTTTAGTCACTGTATCATAACGTTTAGTGGACATACATGATTACATAGGGCAAGTTGTTTCTATTTTTCTTATCGAATTAAGATCCCCTTACTAGTTGTATCAGATGTAAGACCCTGTTCTCATTCATTCCTAGATCGATCTAGGGTAGACCGATCTAGTGGATCGCTCCAGAGGTTCGCTTCGTTTTATATACGCACTCCAGGTGCACACTCAGAAGCTAGACCGCTCTTTTTGCTATGGTATAGTACGAACGAGCTAGACCGCTCTTTTTGCTGGAGTGGGAAAGGTCAGCGGGTCAATCAATTTTTTCGCGCGGAATTTAAATCCGAATAGATATATATTTTTTTTACATTCTATCATTTTCTTTTCTGTTTTTCTAATGCTATTTTTTTCCATCTTCCATCTTCTTATGTTGTTCTTTTTTTAAATATGTCTATCATCTGTTTCTTTCTATCTTTCGTCATGTTATTCTTGTTTCCTTTTTTCCTTTTATCACCTTCTCCTATGTTATTCATTACTTTTAATATTCTATTATTTTCTCTTTCTAGCTTTCCTTACACTATTCTTTCTGTTTCTTCCTTTTATAACATTTTACTATGTTATTCTCTGTTTAAATCATGTCATCATTTTCTCTTCCTCTCTTTCCTTATGTCATTCTTCGTTTCTTCTTCTATCACCTTCTCTCATGTCATTCATTGTTTTTATCATTCTCTCCTCTTCTTTCTATCTTTCCTTATATTATTCTCTGTTTTTATTCTTTGTAAGTCATCTATTTCTTTACTTTCCCGCCCGAAACAAACTCACTTCCGGTTAAAGATTGCTTCCTGGCACGGTTCGTGTTCGTATTGCAAACTAGATCGGTCTTGGGCAATCTAGGAAGCGAATCGGTCCAGAAGATCGTTCCTGGAACTCTTGTCTGTACACAGTCGCAGTTAAACTAATCTAGCCTAGAACGATCTAGCCTGAATCTAGTCTTGGAATGAGTGAGAACGGGGTCTATTAATTTGCTCTTGAATGCCAATTGCTCTTAAATGCCGACCGGGCCATTCTCGAATACATTGTTAAAGGACAATCAGAGAACTTGGAAGGAAAGATCACAAGGATGACTAAATAGTGGGGATATTTAGGTGTACCCATCACCAAAACGTGTTTTGCTCCAGATGTAAGGGGCTCAATTTTGCTACATTGTATAGAGCTTCAATTATTTGTTTGTTATAAGATGAGATATTGCGGTAGATATACACTGTAGATGAACAGTAAAATGCCATGTTGAGTGAACTTATTAATATACGCGTACGCGCTAACATAGAGAAAGCCACACACGGAAATGGAGTTCGACTTGGGTTCCATGTGAGCCCTATATCTAGGGGGTTGTTGATATTGATTTTCTTCATATTCCTTAATAACCGTTTGTTGACATATGGAAACGTTTGCTTGTATTTGTCTCATAAAATAATTTGACCACGAAATGACTCCCACACGGTGTTGAGTGCTCAGGGGTCACAGGCCACTGGCTTCATCGGGCAGGTAGTTCCATTATGTGAATGGGTAAATTAACTATTACAAAATGTGGGGACACATTACATTGTACAATAGGGACACACATTGTTTTTATTGTGCAGAACATACTCTTTTATTGACTAACTTATTGCATTAAAAAATTTAACCAAAATGCATTTTGTATTCTAACAATTGGAGTACAAAGAATGATAACAGGTGAATGAAATGCATAAACAGCACAAACACCTGGGGAGGAAGCATTCATAAATTTGAATACATATAGTTGATAAACGACTCCGATGAAACTATAAAACCAAAATGAAATTTGCGTTCTGGCAATTGGAGTACAAAGAATGATAGCAGGTGAATGAAATGCTTCAACAGCAACACAAACACCAGGGAAGCTAGGAGGCATCCATAAATTTGAATAATTTAGTTGATAAACGACTCCGCATGTGGACGTTTGTTGGAGCAGAAAGCAGTGGATTCTTAACAACACGAACCCATTTAACAGAATGTCGGAACGTAAATTAAATTTGGCGCGGTTGGAAAATGCATCTTTCTACCCTGTGACTTTAATGGTATGATCCAGTAAATTAAAACAGTAAAATGGGTCTTATTTTAAAATTACTCATTAAATAAAACCAAAAACTTCAGTGATATCAGAAAAAATATGTTATATCTTACTAATAATTAAAAAAAGATGTATAAACATTGTGAAAGTGTCACATTTTACGATAAAAGACACCGATTTAGCGAAGATAACGTCATTAGTGCGCTTGCATCAGGGAATTCAAGGTCAAAAAGTCAATTCATACGCTGATAAGTTATTGGTCGAGCCTTTTTGTTTCCTTTATTCCGACAAAATTATACAATCAATCAAAACAAGTTTGATACCAGAAGAAAGCTAATGCTACAGTCACACGGCCATGTTACGGACCTGCGGATGCCTGCGTATATTTGGATAATGAAAATGCGTAATTTTTAACCCCAATACGGAAATTTGAGCAAAAGTTACCTATATTCTGCGGACGATACGGATTAGTTACTGATGTTACGTATGAATTACGGATGTTACGGGTAAAACCTGCGGATGAACCCATCCGCTGCCAACCCGCTGACACATGTTACTGACGACTTACGGATGACTTACGGATTTTACGGATGACTTACGGACGATACGGATGACTTACGGACGATACGGATAAGTTACGCTCTTGTCTGCGCATGTCGGCTTCCTCTGGCGTCCGCACCATCCGCATATAAACCCACGTGGATCGGAGCTTGCTTCAGTCGCATTTCATCAAGTCTGAGATCTAGTTCCAGTTATTCAACAGTTTCTTCTCCATCTTTTTGGACTTTCGTGTGCATCATGTCTGGCAGAAGAAGTAGCAGAAAAACCAGGAAGAATCCTCCAGTGAGTGAGCAGCCACAACAGCCTCCCCAGGCAGAGGAAGAGGCTCAAAAGGTAGAAGAAGAGGGACCATCCCTGGCAGAGCTGACGGTTCCCCCACCCCCCTTTTGAGAGTGTATTTTTCAAAATCATCTAAAAATCGACGATTGAAGGGGCATTCCCAAAATAAATGGGCAATAGTTTCAGAGTGTTTTGAACAAAAAGAACACAAATATATATACCAACAGTTTTCAGATACTTGTTAACACCAAGGATATTATGAAGAATTTTATATTGTAAATATTTAAGTTTTTTTGATAAAGAACATTTAAAAGGAATCATATAAATTTTGTCCCAAGTAACAATTGGTTTTGAAACAATGTTCCTCCATTTGTTTTGTGAAATAGGAGTTTTAAAGATTTTCTCAACACAGATTTTATAAATAAATTTACATCCTTTCGTTACCTTGTTCAATTTTTTTGTTGTCAAATTTAAGCATCAAGAGTTGCATGATTTGTCTGTTTGTTATGTTTGGCCAACTGCTTAGGCCATGCGCTGCTGCCAGGGAACTGCTCCGGCGGTGCCATTGTAGTAATGCTTGAGGTACAGGCGCTGGCGCTTGGCAATCTTGGTGGTGTAGTTGCCAGCAAGCCTCTGTTGCATGTCATCCAGCACGCCCCCCTCTCTCCATGCACCCGGGATGATGTTGTGCTGGTCGTCCTCTCTGTCCATCATGCCATTCTGCTCAGCGGATGCCTGGTCTCTCAGGAGGTTGTGGATGCACAGGCAGGCGAGGACGATGGTCTCCACTGTGGAAGGCACCTGTGCCATAGCACTCAGAAGACACCGGAATCTGTTTGCAAGAATGCCAAAGGCATTCTCCACACATCTCCTGGCTCTGGAAAGTCTATAGTTAAATATCCTCTCCTCCATGGTCAGTGGCTTGGCACCAAAGGGCTTCATCAGGGTGGTGCGTAGTGCAAATGCAGCGTCAGCAATCACGAAATAAGGGATGGTCCTAGGTTCTATGGGAGCTGTAAAAACGTGTGGAGCTGTTGGTCTCGATCGTCATGAGGCAGTGGCTCATCTGGTGGTATTCCAATGTTCTCATCGTCAATTGCCTCTTTCAGACTGCACGTGTTCCAAATCTGGGCATCAGAACTCGCACCACCTGCTCCCACCTCCACCCACCGGAACTTGTAGTTGCCATCAACCAGGGCAAGGAGTACAATCGAGTTGTACCCCTTATAGTTGTAGAACTGGGAGCCACAGTTCGCGGGTGCCTTGATGCGGATGTGCTTGCCATCTAAGGCTCCCAGGCAATGGTGGAAGTTCCACCGGTCGGAGAAGGTCTGGGCAATGCCCTTCCACCCCTCTGGAGTAGATGGGTTGCTGATGGTCTCCTCGCCATACTCAGCGTAGATGGCCTGACACACGTCCAACACCAAGAGTGAGATGGTGTTGTGGGGTACATAGAATAGGTACATCAGGCTGTGGTAGGAGTCCCCACTGGCAAGGTAGCGCATGGTGATGGCGACCTTCAAGCCTACTGGAAGGGCCTTCCTGTACCAGGTATCATACTTCTGTAAGCGAGGAGTGAGGCGGGTGACCATTTCGGCAAACATGGCAGGTGTGATGCGGGTGAAGTTGCGGAAGCCCTGAACATCCTCATTGCGTAGCAGGTGCATCAGGTTACCATAGGCACCCTGGTGTGGTCGCAATGTGATCCAGTGACGAACCCAACACATCCTCTCTTTTCTCCTTTCAAGGATGGCTTGCATCTTGGCCATCAGGATCTTCATCTGCATCTGATTGTGTTGGATGGCCATCAAACAATCCAGCAACACAAGGCGGCGTTCTCTCTCCATCTTGAGTGACCTGTGAAAGTCTACAGTTGAAGAACTGACAATGATGAGGATGCTGGCAGCATCCAGGGTTGCATACCCAAGTGAAGACCATTTGGCATGGGCGACATCCGCCGAAATGAAAGAAGACATAGGTAAAAATTCCGCATATTATCCGTATCTCAACCGTAACATACATATCCAATCCGTAACATCCGTATCCCATCCGTAATATTCGTATCCCATCCGCAAGCATACGCAATTACCGCAAGTCCTATCGTAAGATCCGCAATATATATGTCAAAAATACGTTAAACATACGTAACTCCTACGTAATAGTGTTTACGTACCCCTATGTATCCGCAGGCATCCGCACACCCGACAAAGTGTGCGGATCAGTTACGTATCTAACGTATCCTGCGGATGAGTTTACGTATCTTACGTATGAGTTACGTATTTTACGTATGGATAACGTATATTCTGCGGATGCTTACGTATATTTCATCCGCAGCAAAATTTTGAGATTTTCAAAATTCCGCTGCGGATCTGCGTATGTCTGCGGATCCTGCGGATTGAATTACGGATGGATACGGATGCTTACGGATGATACGGATCCTTGCGGATGCTTACGGACTTTTATCCGTAAGCATCCGCAGCTACCGTAAGTGGCCGTGTGACTGTGCCAATATTATTTTCATTAACCGCTTGCCCCAAAGTCTCTTGACCACAGTGAAACGAGTGAGAGCTTGCGAGAGCGGCCAAAGTGTGATTGAAACTCGCTATTTGCTCTTCTCCAACGCAAACAGATACGAAATTGTGCTGGATAAATGTATTTTTTCCGACAAAAGTACAGAAAATTTGCATATGGTCTTTTTATATTATACTTTATGAAATGTTACCCGAGTGACTTCCGGGCGCCCCAATGCTGGAAAGAAACGCACATTTTAGAAAACTTCACTTTTTCATGGAAAAATGCTTATTTGTTCTATGCACGCAAGTCTGATTGAGCGGATGATACAACGTTTCCATATGGTTAAATATTCTACCTATACACAAATTATTGTTTAAAATATTTTTTTAACATATCGGACGATTACCCCTGGACAATCACCCCCGAAAATAACCCTCTGGAACCCCCCCCCCCCCGCTGACAATAAACCCCAGGAAAATTACCCGCAGGACAACCACCCCCGAGCACAATAACCCCGGGAAACTTCCTCCTATTAAGACAAGAACCCCCCAAGGACATTTTTCCCCTATCCCTGAAAATTACCTTCTAGAACAATTACACCTCCCAAAAAGGACATCCAAGGACAACCACCCCCGAGCACAATAACCACCGGGAAAGTTTCTCATAAGACAATAACCCCCCAAGGACATTATTCCCCCATCCCTGAAAATTACCTTCTAGAACAATTACAACTCCACCATAGGACATCCAAGGACAACCACCCCAGAGGACAATTCGCCCCTGCTCATTAAAGGGGAGGTCTACCCTGATGTTGGTTTTAATAACAGCAGTAATAGTCCTCGGGGGGGGGGGGGGGGTAATTGTCCAAAGCGGTCATTTTCAGGGGTGTAATTGTCCTGGCGGGGGGGGGGGGGGGTGTGTGTGTTGTCATCGGGTTCATTTTCCGGGCGGGGGTTAATTGTCTTTTGGGGTAATTGTCCCTTTGGTAATTTGCCGGGGGGCGTTATTTTTTTATGCGGCACAGATTGGGGCTTTTTTTAAAAAGGGGTCTTGATTTACAGACTAATAGTGGTCGTGTGCGTACTAGTAGTAGAGGTCTGTTTTTAATAGTGTTACATGTAATCAACTACCGTATGAAAAATCATTACATCAACAATTAAAATGCAATTGGAAATCTGAAGAGGAGGCAGCACGTCAATAAGAAGAACATCACAATAATTAGTCAATAAAACTTAATAAACTTAAACGAAGAGGAATGTTATCTAAACACATAGTTCGCGATGGATATTCAAACTTCTTCGCAGCGCTAATGCGCTAGCGAACATGCCTAGTCTCACGTACGTGCAGACATTATTCAGAAGGGAAAGAACGTACTTCCCATAGGCTCAACACGCACCATGCCCCAATCTGTGCCGCATAAAAAAATAACGCTGCCGGGGGGGGGGGGGGGGGGGTAATTCTCAAAATTGTCCTAGAACCGATTTCTAAATTTGTAAGAGCCAAACATAAGATTCCCGTTCTCTACATGCATTTTTGAAAATATCTACAGTTCTTATAATGATATAGTTATACAGTTCATCAGAAATAAACGAGATTTTAAACTTCAATGTAATAGACAAATACATCGGTTTTAAAGGAATATTCAAGCAGAAATGATGCGTTTTGAAAACGAAACAAACCAGTTTACAGTTCATGAAGCATTGATTTAAAGTGGTTATAATTGCCTCATTGATAATGACTTTGTCTTTTCTTTCCACTACTATTTTTTTTCACTGCAGACAATAACGAATGCTTTAGTCATCCATGTAAAAATGAAGCTTTGTGTCAAGACGGAATAGATCGGTATATATGCGAATAGCCACCTGTCAGTGACATCGCTGTGTGGTCTAATCCCTTATGGCCCAGTAGTATTGACGGTCTTTAATATTGAGATAATACGAGCTGCAGTATGCTAATACTAATCATAATACCATATTTATAAAGCGCCTAATAAACATAAGTTTCTCTATGCGCTGTACACGCATAATGACGAGAAATATAATCACACAAAAGGAATCAACACATAGAAATATAAAAATCTTATAACTACTAAAAATGACTAACTTAACATATTAAATAACATAATAAAGAGATAGCTAACATGGTCAAAACAAAGAACGTAAGTAAGGATAGTTTAAACTAATTAATTAAGGCCAAAGAGGTGCGTTTTTAGTGAAGATTTGAATGTTGCAGAAGTGGGTGTCTGTCGTATTGAATTGGGAAGATTGTTACAAAGGTTTGGTCCAGCAACTGCAAAAGATCTGCCCCCATGTAATATGGTATTGGTTTTTGGTACACAAAGTAATGCTAGATTGCTTGAACGGAGGGTTCGGGGTGAGTGGTATTGTTTGAGCAAATCAGTCAGGTATGAAGGAGAAGAACTATGTTGTGCTTTAAATGTAATTAATAAGAGTTTGACTATGATGCGCATATCTACAGGAAGCCAGTGTAGTTTCTTAAGAGTACTAGTTGTACTTTGTTGGCGTGGAGTGCGATTGACCAGTCTCGCTGCAATGTTCAGTATCATTTGATTCCGGAAAATATCAATTGCGGGAAGTCAAAACAGCAAAATTTTACATGAGTCTAATCTGCTTGTCACAAATGCATCCACCAGAGTGAATGCACCTTTCTTCGAGAGGAAACACCTGATTTTACTTGTGCACCTGATTCCTGCCATTGCTGAGTTGCAAACAGTTTTTATATGTTCTTTCAATGTGATGTGCTGGTCAAAGACTGGTCAAAGACAACCTCAAGCTTCTGGCACAAGGAATAGGATTAATGTGGCAGTCACCGACACATACACTAGATAGGGAGGGATCTTGACGAAACTTAGATGTGAAATGGATGATTTCAGTTTTGGAATCATTCAAAGACAATTTGTTTTTCATTGCCAAAATCTTCACATCAGTTATGCAGGCTTTCACTTCTCTAATACGCAGACTGGTCCGACTGGTCCATACTATTCTAGAATGGTTTCCAATTACAGATTTAACTGAAGCGAACCAACATAAGGTTGAAAGGTGGCGATTCATCAGCGAGAACCCAATGTCAACACCCGGACTTCTGACAGAACTCTAAAATACTTGGAGACGTACGGGGCACCTAAATGACCAAATACCTTAGACTTGCCTACAAGGGTAATAGGCTCGTTGTTTATGGCATCTGGAATGCAATTTTGTACCTTTACTCTGTCCTATGCAAACATCGATAAATTGACTGCTTTTCGAATTAAAGATCATTTGTATGCAAACGGTTTGAGACTTGAGACAATAGAGCTTTATCAGTTATTTTGGAGAAAAATGGAAAATCGAAGACAGATCTGTAATTGTTTAGCTTATTCCGATCAAGACATTGGACGTTTTGATCAGTGGAGTTACCTCAGCTTCCTT